CTATTAATGACACTATCATCAGGAAGATTAACTCCCAGTTGAGTCAAGTGGTTGTGGTACCCAGACATTCTGAGCATATGTTCACTAACAGAACTATTCTCCTCCATCTTGCAGCTATAGAACTTATTGGAGACTTCATATCTCTCAATCCGAGCATTTGCTTGAAATATTAACTTTAACTCCTGAAACATCTCATATGCTCCATGACGTTCAAAATGTCGTTGAAGTCCCGGTTCTAAGCCGTAAAGCATGGCACGCTGAACTATCGAGTAGTCATCAGCTTTGCTCTACCAGACGTTCACAACATCCGGTGTTGCTCCTACAGTGGTTCTTGCACCTAGCGGTGCTTCTAGGACGTAATTCTTCTGTGCAGCAATGAGGATAATCCTCAAGTTACGGATCCAGACCGTGTAGTTTCTACCATCATCTTTTAACTTAGCTTTCTCTAGGAACGCATTAAAATTCAAAGGAACAGTAGCACGGGCCATTGATCTACAACAACATAGACATACAAAATACTATCAGGTACTAAGTTCATGATAAATTAAAGTTCAATTAATCATATTACTTAAGAACTCCCACTTAGATAGACATCCCTCTAATCATCTAAGTGATCACGTGATCCAAATCAACTAAACCATGTCCGATCATCACGTGAGATGGAGTAGTTTTCAATGGTGAACATCACTATGTTGATTATATCTACTATATGATTCACGCTCGACCTTTTGGTCTTAGTGTTCCGAGGCCATATCTACATATGCTAGGCTCGTCAAGTTTAACCCGAGTATTCTGCGTGTGCAAACTGGCTTGCACCGTTGTATGTGAACGTAGAGCTTATCACACCTGATCATCACGTGGTGTCTTGGCACGACGAACTGTAGCAACGGTGCATACTCAGGAAGAACCCTTGTACCTTGAAATTTAGTGAGAGATCATCTTATAATGCTACCGCCGTACTAAGCAAAATAAGATGCATAAAGGATAAACATCACATGCAATCAATATAAGTGATATGATATGACCATCATTATCTTGTGCCTTTGATCTCCATCTCCAAAACACCGTCATCATCACCATCGTCACCGGCTTGACACCTTGATCTCCATCGAAGCATCGTTGTCATCTCGCCAACTATTGCTTCTACGACTATCGCTACCGCTTAGTGATAAAGTAAAGCAATTATATGGTGATTACAATTCATACAATAAAGCGACAACCATAAGGCTCATGCCAGTTGCCGATAACTTTTACAAAACATGATCATCTCATACAACAATTTATATATCATCACATCTTGACCATATCACATCATAGCAAGCCCTGCAAAAACAAGTTAGACGTCCTCTACTTTGTTGTTGCAAGTTTTACGTGGCTGCTACGGGCTTATCAAGAACCGTTCTTACCTACGCATCAAAAACCACAACAATTTTTCATCAAGTGTGCTGTTTTAACCTTCAACAAGGACCGGGCATAGTCACACTCGATTCAACTAAAGCTGGAGAAACAGACACCCACTAGCCACCTGTGTGCGAAGCATGTCGGTAGAACCGGTCTCATAAACGCGGTCATGTAATGTCGGTCTGGGCCGCTTCGTCCAACAATACCGTCGAATCAAAGTATGACATGCTGGTAAGAAGTATGACTATTATCGCCCACAACTTTTGTGTTCTACTCATGCATATAACATCTACGCATAAACCTGGCTCGGATGCCACTATTGGGAAACGCAGTAATTTCAAAAAAATCCTACGATCACACAAGATCTATCTAGGAGATGCATAGCAACGAGAGGGGAGAGTGTGTCTACGTACCATCGTAGACCAAAAGCGGAAGCGTTATATCAACGCGATTGATGTAGTTGTACGTCTTCACGATCCGACTGATCCTAGCACCGAACGTACGGCACCTCCGTGTTCAGCACACGTACAACACGATGACGTCCCTCGTACTTTTGATCCAGTTGAGGCCGAGGGAGAGTTCTGTCAGCACGACGGCGTGGCGACGATGGTGATGAAGTTACCAGCGTAGGGCTTCACCTAAGCACTACGACGTTATGACCAAGGTGTAAAACTGTAGAGAGGGGCACCACACACGGCTAAGAGCTTGTTTGTTGTGCCTTTGGGTGCCCTCCTCCCCACGTATATAAAGGAGGAAGGAAGGAGGAGGCCGGCCAGGAGGAGGCGCGCCCAAGGGGGGGGGAGTCCTACTCCAAGTAGGATTCACCCCCCTTTCCTACTTCCACAAGGAGAAGGGGGGAAGGAGAGGGAGAAGAGAAGGAAAGGGGGGGCGGCCCCCATAGCCCTAGTCCAATTCGGTTTGGGCTAGGGGGGGGAGGGCGCCACACCTTGGTCTGCCTCCTCTCTTCCACCACTAGGCCCATGAGGCCCAATAACTTCCCGGAGGGTTCCGGTAACCCCGGGTACTCCGAAACGACCCGAACCATTCCGGTGTCCGAATGTAACCTTCCAATATATCAATCTTTATGTCTCGACCATTTCGAAACTCCTCGTCATGTCCATGATCTCATCCGGGACTCCGAACAACCTTCGGTACATCAAATCACATAACTCATAATACAAATCGTCATCAAACGTTAAGCGTGCGGACCCTACGGGTTCGAGAACTATGTAGACATGACCGAGACACATCTCCGGTCGATAACCAATAGCGGAACCTGGATGCTCATATTGGCTCCTACATATTCTACGAAGATCTTAATCGGTCAAACCGCATAACAACATACGTTGTTCCCTTTGTCATCGGTATGTTACTTGCCCGAGATTCGATCGTCGGTATCATCATACCTAGTTCAATCTCATTACCGGCAAGTCTCTTTACTCGTTCCATAATGCATCATCCTGCAACTAACTCATTAGTCACATTGCTTGCAAGGCTTATAGTGATGTGCATTACCAAGAGGGCCCAGAGATACCTCTCCGAAACATGAAGTGACAAATCCTAATCTCGATCTATGTCAACTCAACAAACACCATCGGAGACACCTGTATAGCATCTTTATAATCACTCAATTACGTTGTGACGTTTGATAGCACAATAAGTGTTCCTCCGGTATTCGGGAGTTGCATAATCTCATAGTCATATGAACATGTATAAGTCATGAAGAAAGCAATAGCAATAAACTAAATGATCATAGTGCTAAGCTAACGAATGGGTCTTGTCCATCACATTATTCTCTAATGATGTGATCCCGTTCATCAAATGACAACTCATGTCTATGGCTAAGAAACTTAACCATCTTTGAGTAACGAGCTAGTCAAGTAGAGGCATACTAGGGACACTTTGTTTGTCTATGTATTCACACATGCACTAAGTTTCCAGTTAATACAATTCTAGCATGAATAATAAACATTTATCATGATATAAGGAAATATAAATAACAACTTTATTATTGCCTCTAGGCCATATTTCCTTCACCCCTCTGATACTTACAACCGTGTTCTCCACCCTACCGAGGCTACCGACAGTTTTTTGCACCGTCATTTGGCGCGTCAGTCATGTGTTCTGTCGGTCGAAGACCGAGCCCTGAACGAATCTCTAGTCATGCCCAACAACTTCATGTTGGGCCAAACTTTCGTCTTCGGTCCCTTCAAGTTCATTGTCGACAAGCGAGGCTACTCTACTACAACCTGTCGCCCTTCCCTATCATGACCTTCAAAAGCATCGAGTTACACCTCAACCAGCACGTCGATGATGTGTGCCTCCGTGTCCCGCCATCACCTTTGACATGCGAAGCAGTGCCGATCGTGGCTAACCTCAGGGTGGCTGGATCTTCATCACCCCGCCAGTCCGCCCCATCGCATGAAGGGAACATGATCTTTCAGGCTATACACGAGGAGCCTAGAAGAACACGCGTCGGGCAGTTTATACAACTGCACCGACCCACGCAGAATATCTGGAGTGGTCCAACTCCACCACCACCTTCGATCACATAGACCACCCAGACTACATTCCTCATCCAAGAAAAATCCGCTCAAGTGCTAGTAGATCCGATCGATGGCCGTATGCATCTTTCCAATGCAGAGGCCGGGGAATGACCTCCTTTTCAAAAAAAAAAGATCCGATCGGCGGCGGCTTCCGCCTTCCCCGAGTCCTATGGACGGGGCAGCGGGGTCAACGCCGTCTTCCCGACACACTTTGCAAAGATGGGAATTTCAAAGTCCCGTCTGAGCCCCTCACCTACCCCGTCTGAGCCCCTCACCTACCGGTTTCCAAGTTTCATGCCCATGGCAAGGACTAGAACCAACAGCCCCTTAATTGTCTTCTCTGCAAACTGCTACTACATCACTGATTGCCTGCTCGGAGCGTTGCCACTCCACTACCCAAAACAGATAAGAATAATCAGCAAACATCATCCGCACAAAACGTGCAAAGCACCAGAACCATGACGGGAACAGTTTCCTACACAACTATTCCAGGTCGCTCGGCCGTCCAGTCGATCAGCTGGAAAACCCAGGTTCCTACCTGTGATTCTCTGGACTCACCGTTGAGTACTGAGTGCAGCATTTACCACTGTACTGAACAGAAGAGTCGACACAGCATTTCGCACTGTACTGGAACAGTTGTGCGACATTGGAGAAACTGTATTTTTCAAAAGTCTCAATGCAATAATTCTTTGTATGCTGCAGACCTCACAGATTGAATCGACAGGCCGTATGCAAACTAATATCTCACCTCAGGACGTTGGCGCGCAGGGAAAACTTCCCTGCAGAAATTCTCATTGGATCTGGCAGTGTAATTGTTGAGGGATCTAGCGCTGATTTTGTCCGGCCGGCTGAAGCAGCAGCGTCCAAGCATGCCTGATCATTCGCCTCAGCTTACTGTGGTGACTTTACCTATTTACGAAGAATGTCCTATTATATATGTACAACAGCCTAAAGCAAAGCTTCAGCCCATCTTCCAGATTCATGGACTTTGAAAAGGCTATGGGCGGCAACCCATGGATTTCAGGCCTCAGTTGCCAGTCCCTTCGCATACCATCATTCTGCTGAAATGCCCTTTCTCTTGTGGACATACACTTGTGAAAAGTAAAGAAAAGCAGCCAACCCGAGAACACTGAGCACGGCCAGAAGCCAGTAGAAGTAATCGAGATGACCTCGGTTTAGATTGTCCGAGAACCAACTATCTCCGCTGTTGCTGGTTACCCAGTCGATCGCGTACACCAGAATGCTACTGCCGAAGCTCCCGGCCCCGAGTATGCTCAGGTATAAGGCAAGGCCCATGCTGCGCAGATCCTCAGGCACTTGGTCGTAGAAGAATTCTTGCAGGCCGACCACTGTGAACATGTCCGCCAGACCGGCCAGGACAAACTGGGGTACCATCCACCAAAAGCTCATCGGAATGGTCGCTTCAGGTTTGTCCACTAGGACATATTCTCTGGCTATCCTGAGCCTTCTCATCTCCACGAGGGCCGCGACAACCATCAAGATCACGGAGATGGCTAGTCCAGTTCCAATCCTTTGCAAGGGTGTGATACCACTGGGGTTCTTTGAGTATTTTCTGGCTAGTGGAACGAGTATCTGGTCATATATAGGAATTGAGATGATGATTGACATGCCGATCAGGCTTTGTAGGGCAGCAGCTGGTACCTGTAGGCTACCTACCCGCCTATCTAGTGTACTTGCTTGTTTAGTGAACATCGTGGTCCACTGGGCAAAAACAACTGCATAGATCAGGCAGGTTGCCCCTATCGGAAACAACTTAAGCACTGACTTGGCTTCATCAGGGAAACATATCATTTCTGCATTATCCTTGGCTCCGCTGGATGTCGATGTTGGCATGCAGTCAGAATCATCGGTTGATCTGCCAATCAAAATCACAGTGTGCACGCACACACCAAACATAGAAGAATAAAGTCAGTGTTTCTGAACAAAGAACTCCATACAGTGATACGAAGTTTCAGAATTTAGAATAAACTTACCTCAAACACCATGATGCATGCCAGGTTCTAATTAATGATAAAAGGTATCTGCGAACCTCTCCAAATAGACTTCCATCACTTCTTACAGGGTAAAAGCGGTAAGTCCTGGTCCCAAGCCAGAAAACCGCAAGAGACAGAGACATGACGACGCACGGGATTCCAAACCCATACTGCCAGCTTATGTTCTCTTGAATGTAATTCAAGATTGAAACTGTAACAAGAGTGCCTCCATAAGTCCCAAAATACCACCAGTTGAAGAAGGAACTTCTCGAGGCATATTCTTCAGGGTCATTCTCATCAAATTGGTCTGCCCCAAATGCTTGCACACAAGGTTTGTGCCCACCTTGAGCAAAGGCCACCATATAGAGGGAGATGTAGAAAAAAGGTAAATGAGCAGTCGAAGTTGAGTATAGAGCGGAATCCATGCAGTCTCCAAGTTGTGCTGGTAGTTGTGTCGCAAGAATTGATGATAGTGTGAGCATGCCCAGGCCCTGGATGGTGGATTTAATTCCATGAAAGAAGTATTTTAGCACAGTGATGCATAGTGTGTCAATTAAATAATATTCCAAGTAGACTACAAAAAGGGGGGAAATTCCAGGCTATTACATGGAGGAAAGAAAACGTCAAGCAGGTACTATGATGCCTGAGTAAGTATTGCAGAATTTTCTTTGAGGAAGAATAGTAGGTTGCCTACTGTATGTATTTTTATATTTTGTAAAATGTCCAAAATTTACAGGATATG